GCCAGGCGCTGGGGGAGCTGGTGCTGGGACCCAGTGGAGGGGGGACTCAGCGTCCTCCTGACACCCTCCTCGGAGGCCGCCTGTGCGCAGAGCCAGGACTCCGCCCGCCGCAGAGGCGGTGCTGTGGGCTGCTCTTCCTCTTCTGGGCCAGCGCGCAGCGACACTCTGGACTGCGGGAGTGACAACTGAACGTCTGTCACGAACTCAGGATATGGCAAGGGCGGGGCCAGAAGCGGGTGTGGAGGGTAAGGAGCTGCATCCCGCATGGCCAACTGCTTGGTACAGTCCCAGACCCAGTGACTTGAAAATCACGCTGGGCACGTGTGTGTACACATGCGTGTGCACGTGTGTGCCCAAAATTCTGAGAGGAGGATGGAGGAGAAGGATGGTGGCACGGCCATCCCCCCGGGCGTGATTTCTCACTTCCCTCTCTGTCTCTCTCTGGCGAGCGCACAAATGCCCTACAGCAAAAACTTAAAAGCAGCAGGCTCGGCAAGTGCCGCCCTGACCCTCCGCGGCCGAGGTGTGCGGCTCTGCGGGAGGACTCACCAGCCAGGCCTGGAGCCTTAACTCATCAGGGAGCCCAGCAAGGGGCGTCTCGGGCTTCCCATCTCAGACGCTCGTCCACCATCCCACCTGTCACCACGGAAACAGGGTCACCAGGCGGGTACCATCCCACCTGGCACCACAGAAACAGGGTCACCAGGCAGGTACTACCCTCTGTTACCACGGAAACAGGGTCACAGGCAGGCACCCCCCTCTGTCACCATGGAAACAGGGTCACAGGCAGGCACTAGCCCTCTGTTACCACGGAAACAGGGTCACCAGGCAGGTACCATCCCACCTGTCACCACAGAAACAGGGTCACAGGCAGGCACTACCCCTCTGTCACCACGGAAACAGGGTCACAGGCAGGCACCACCCCTCTGTCACCACGGAAACAGTGCCGCAGGCAGGCACTAGCCCTCTGTTACCGCGTGACTAGAAAGGGCCTGGAGAGGGTGGACTTGGGTGCACATTGCTTGCCTCGCTCCCTCCAGCTGTAGCTGTGGCCTCGCCGGGGGCACAGACGCGGCCTGGGGCATGTCGGGCTCCCCCAGCCCTGCTCCCCACACAGAAGGAAGAGCAGGGTCCCCTAACAAGGTGGGGGCATGGGAGCTCATGACGCCGACTCCTCCCATTACACAGATTCACGCCTTTTGCCAACGGCCCCGACGACAGCCCGGAGGAGATCTTGGCGAGGATCGGCAGTGGAGAGTACGCCCTCTCCGGGGGCAACTGGGACTCCATCTCAGACGCGGCAAAGGTGAGTGTGCCCCCCACTCCTGCGTCCTGTGTGGAGGCCCTGCAGTGGCCAGGTGTGCGAGGAAGCTAGCCGAAGCCTTCCATAAAAATGGTGGTACTTCCCCCTCACAGTCTTTCGAAAGCTTCAACTGAAAAATAAATCAATAAAAAGCTGCCGGCGAAGGACTCTGCAGCATGTCCCCAGTGTCCCAGGAGCAGGGGTGCCTAGAGAGGAGACCAGAGACACGCAGCTCCAGGAGTCAGCTCACGTGACTGAGGACTGGAGAGTCTCCCTGCAGGGAGGACGCAGGCTGGGGGCCAGGCGGAGCTGGGGCTGGGGTGGCCCTGAAGGTTGTCTCCTCCTCCCAGGGGAGCTCTGGCTTTCTCGCCAAGGCCTTCCACTGCCTGGGTGGAGGACACCCACGTTCGGAGGCTGACTGCTCTACCGAAAGTCGGCGGCTCTCAGTCAGTCACACACAGCCTCTAGACTGGTGGCAGGCTACGTATCAGGGTGCGGTGGCCTGCCACATGGACACGCTGACTCACACCGCACTTCAGCGACATTGCAGATGGCTGCTTTGCAGGTCCCTGGGCTGCCAGACCGCTGTGGGGCCGGGTGTCCCCTGTCACCCGGATGCACTTTGCATCTGGGCTGGCTGCACTGTGTGTGACCCGCCTCACCTCCTCTGACTCCAGACTCTTGCTTGTGTGAGCTGACGTCATCAGAACCCTCCTCGTAGAGTATACAGCATGAGCACACCGAGCAGTGCCAAGGGCCGAGTCCCATGTGACTGGAGAAAGGCCCAAGGAGGAGGCTGGAGCTCTGCTTCCAGTGCTGCCATCACCGTCGAAGAGCAGAGCATATGGCAGGGGGAAGCAGTCATGCTGGTGTGACAGCAGAGGTGATGGCAGACGTGGAGGCAACTGTGAAGGTGTTGTAGTAGAAGAGATGGAGGAGATGGCAGTGACGATGTGGCAGAGGTGTAGAGGTGGGGCGGAGATGATAAAGGAGGAGGATGAAGGCAAAGCTGAGGGCATAAAGGAGGTAATGGTGAAAAAAGTTATAGTGGAGGTGATAGTAGAGATGGTAGAGGTGACTATGAAGGTGCTATACTAGAAGAGATGGAGGAGATGGTGGAGGAGGTGGTAGAGGACATAGAGGAGGAGATAGTGGAGGACATAGAGGAGGAGATGGAGGAGATGGTGGAGGAGGTGGTAGAGGACATAGAGGAGGAGATAGTGGAGGACATAGAGGAGGAGATGGAGGAGATGGTGGAGGAGGTGGTAGAGGACATAGAGGAGGAGATAGTGGAGGACATAGAGGAGGAGATGGAGGAGATGGTGGAGGAGGTGGTAGAGGACATAGAGGAGGAGATAGTGGAGGACATAGAGGAGGAGATGGAGGAGATGGTGGAGGAGGTGGTAGAGGACATAGAGGAGGAGATAGTGGAGGACATAGAGGAGGAGATGGAGGAGATGGTGGAGGAGGTGGTAGAGGACATAGAGGAGGAGATAGTGGAGGACATAGAGGAGGAGATGGAGGAGATGGTGGAGGAGGTGGTAGAGGACATAGAGGAGGAGATAGTGGAGGACATAGAGGAGGAGATGGAGGAGATGGTGGAGGAGGTGGTAGAGGACATAGAGGAGGAGATAGTGGAGGACATAGAGGAGGAGATGGAGGAGATGGTGGAGGAGGTGGTAGAGGACATAGAGGAGGAGATAGTGGAGGACATAGAGGAGGAGATGGAGGAGATGGTGGAGGAGGTGGTAGAGGACATAGAGGAGGAGATAGTGGAGGACATAGAGGAGGAGATGGAGGAGATGGTGGAGGAGGTGGTAGAGGACATAGAGGAGGAGATAGTGGAGGACATAGAGGAGGAGATGGAGGAGATGGTGGAGGAGGTGGTAGAGGACATAGAGGAGGAGATAGTGGAGGACATAGAGGAGGAGATGGAGGAGATGGTGGAGGAGGTGGTAGAGGACATAGAGGAGGAGATAGTGGAGGACATAGAGGAGGAGATGGAGGAGATGGTGGAGGAGGTGGTAGAGGACATAGAGGAGGAGATAGTGGAGGACATAGAGGAGGAGATGGAGGAGATGGTGGAGGAGGTGGTAGAGGACATAGAGGAGGAGATAGTGGAGGACATAGAGGAGGAGATGGAGGAGATGGTGGAGGAGGTGGTAGAGGACATAGAGGAGGAGATAGTGGAGGACATAGAGGAGGAGATGGAGGAGATGGTGGAGGAGGTGGTAGAGGACATAGAGGAGGAGATAGTGGAGGACATAGAGGAGGAGATGGAGGAGATGGTGGAGGAGGTGGTAGAGGACATAGAGGAGGAGATAGTGGAGGACATAGAGGAGGAGATGGAGGAGATGGTGGAGGAGGTGGTAGAGGACATAGAGGAGGAGATAGTGGAGGACATAGAGGAGGAGATGGAGGAGATGGTGGAGGAGGTGGTAGAGGACATAGAGGAGGAGATAGTGGAGGACATAGAGGAGGAGATGGAGGAGATGGTGGAGGAGGTGGTAGAGGACATAGAGGAGGAGATAGTGGAGGACATAGAGGAGGAGATGGAGGAGATGGTGGAGGAGGTGGTAGAGGACATAGAGGAGGAGATAGTGGAGGACATAGAGGAGGAGATGGAGGAGATGGTGGAGGAGGTGGTAGAGGACATAGAGGAGGAGATAGTGGAGGACATAGAGGAGGAGATGGAGGAGATGGTGGAGGAGGTGGTAGAGGACATAGAGGAGGAGATAGTGGAGGACATAGAGGAGGAGATGGCAGGTATAGTGGAGGACATAGTGGGTGTATCACACACGTAGGTACATGGATTGTATCGCATGTACATGGATTATATCGCATGTACATGAGTTGTATTACGTCGGTACGTGGACTGTATCACTCACGTGGGTACATGTATTGTATCGCATGTACATGGGTTGTATCGCATGTACATGGGTTGTATCGCGTGTACGTGGGTTGTATTACTCACGTCGGCATGTGGACTGTATCGCTCACGTCAGTACCTGGACTGTATTACACACATCTGGACGTGGATTGTGGATTGTGAACATGTATTGAATGCCTGAAAAGTGGAGCTCTGCATTTAAACCAGCTTCAGGCCCTGGTGCTGTGATTAGTTTGTGATCAAATAACAAAAGCCCTTTGCTGGACACGAGCCCTTTGGATGTAGCTGATGGCTGCAGACGGCAGACGCCTTCGTAGGTCCAGGGGTGCCCTGCAGCAGACGTCTCATGGCAGCGCTGAGAAAGGCAGCCACATGCATTCTCAGGGGTCGGTTTCTACCCGAGCTGCTGATGTGCCACGTCAAGTTCGTGCTCGGGAAGGTTAGCGTTTTTACTGAAATAGCTTCGGCAATTACATATGCACTGCTGTGGTCGGGCCAAGTTTATCCCCCAAAGACTCATGTTTGGGGTCTGGTCCTCCGTGTAATGGTGCAGGGAGGTGATGAGACCTTCAGGGCGAGGCCTGGTGCACGGCGTTCAGCTGTGGAGGCAGCACCCTCGTGACCAGCTTAGAGCTGCCTTTAAGATAGAGCTCTCACGGGAACGGCTTCACTCCCACTCGAGCCAGGAGGTGGCAAAGGAACAGTTGCCCCAGGTCTCTCTGCACATGCCCGGGTCTCTCCTGGTCTCTCTCTGCACGTGCCCCGGTCTCTCTCTGGTCTCTCTGCACGTGCCCGGGTCTCTCTGTTCTCTCTCTGCATGTGCCCCGGCCTCTCCTGGTCTCTCTTTGCACATGCCCGGGTCTCTCCTGGTCTCTCTCTGCACGTGCCCCGGTCTCTCTGGTCTCTCTCTGCACGTGCCTCGGTCTCTCTCTGTTCTCTCTCTGCACATGCCCGGGTCTCTCCTGGTCTCTCTCTGCATGTGCCTCGGTCTCTCTCTGTTCTCTCTCTGCA